ATCACGTTGATTGATTTGCGGATGTTGAACCAGCCTTGCAGCCCAGGGATCAATCCCACTTGGTCATGGTGGATAATCCTTTTAATGTAATGTTGGTTCCTCTTGGGTAGTATTTTGGTGAGAATTTTTGCATCCATGTTCATCAAGGATATTGGTCTGTAATTCTCCTTTTTGATGGGGTCTTTGTCTGGTTTTGGGATCAAGGTAATGCTGGCCTCATAAAATGAGTTTGGAAGTTTTCCTTCCATTTCTATTTTTTCAAACATTTTCAGGAGCACAGGTATTAATTCTTCTTTAAATGTCTGATAGAATTCCCCTGGGAAGCCATCTGGCCCTGGGCTTTTGTTTCTTGGGAGATTTTTGATGACTGCTTCAATTTCCTTAGTGGTTATAGGTCTGTTCAGGTTTTCTATTTCTTCCTGGTTCAATTTTGGTAGTTGATACATCTCTAGGAATGCCCCCATTTCTTCCAGGTTCTCTAATTTGCTGGCATAGAGTTGCTCATAATATGTTCTTAGAATTGTTTGTATGTCTTTGGTGTTGGTTGTGATCTCTCCTCTTTCATTCATGATTTTGTTGATTTGGGTCATTTCTCTTTTCTTTTTGATCAGTCTGGCCAGGGGTTTATCAATCTTGTTAATTCTTTCAAAGAACCAGCTCCTAGTTTCGTGGATCTGTTCTACTGTTCTTTTGGTTTCTAGTTCATTCATTTCTGCTCTGATCTTTATGATTTCTCTTCTCCTGCTGGGTTTAGGCTTTCTTTGCTGTTCTTTCTCCAGCTCCTTTAGGTGTAGGGGTAGGTTGTGTATTTGAGACCTTTCTTGTTTCTTGAGAAAGCCTTGTATTGCTATATATTTTCCTCTCAGGACTGCCTTTGCTGTATCCCAAAGATTTTGAACAGTTGTGTTTTCATTTTCATTGGTTTCCATGAATTTTTTTAATTCTTCTTTAATTCCCTGGTTGACCCATTCATTCTTTAGTAGGATGCTCTTTAGCCTCCATGTATTTGAGTTCTTTGCGAGTTTCCTCTTGTGATTGAGTTCTAGTTTCAAAGCATTGTGGTCTGAAAATATGCCGGGAATCATCCCAATCCTTTGGTACCAGTTGAGACCTGATTTGTGACCTAGGATGTGATCTATTCTGGAGAATGTTCCATGGGCACTAGAGAAGAATGTGTATTCCGTTGCTTTGGGGAGGAATGTTCTGAATATGTCTGTAAAGTCCATTTGGTCCAGTGTTTCATTTAAAGTCTTTATATCCTTGTTGATCTTTTGCTTAGATGATCTGTCCATTTCAGTCAGGGGGGTGTTAAAGTCCCCCACTATTATTGTATTGTTGTCAATGTGTTTCTTTGCTTTTGGTATTAATTGCCTTATATAATTGGCTGTTCCCACGTTAGGGGCATAGATATTTACAATTGTTAGATCTTCTTGTTGGATAGACCCTTTAAGTAGGATATAGTGTCCTTCTTCATCTCTTATTACAGTCTTTGTTTTAAAATCTAATTTGTCTGATATTAGGATTGCCACCCCAGCTTTCTTTTAGTGTCCATTAGCATGGTAAATCGTTTTCCACCCCCTCACTTTCAATCTGGGGGTTTCTTTGGGTCTAAAACGAGTCTCTTGCTGAGAGCATATTGATGGGTCTTGTTTTTGAATCCAATCTGAACATCTGTGTCTTTTGATTGGGGCATTTAGCCCATTTACATTCAGGGTAAATATTGAAAGATTTGAATTTAGTGACATTGTATTGCCTGTAAGGTGACTGTGACTGTATATTGTCTGTATTCCTTTATGGTCTATGCTGCTTTTAGGCTCTCTCTTTGCTTATGGGACCCCTTTCAATATTTCTTGTAGGGGTGGTTTCGTGTTTGCAAATTCCTTTAGTATTTGTTTGTCCTGGAAGCTTTTTATCTCTCCTTCTATTTTCAATGATAGCCGAGCTGGATATAGTATTCTTGGCTGCATATTTTTCTCGTTTAGAGCTCTGAAAATATCATGCCAGTCCTTTCTGGCCTGCCAGGTCTCTGTGGATAGGTCTGTTGCCAATCTAATGTTTCTACCATTATAAGTTACATATCTCTTCTCCAGAGCTGTTCTCAAGATTTTCTCTTTGTCTCTGAGACTCGTACATTTTACTATTAGATGTCGGGGTGTTGACCTATTTCTATTGATTTTGAGAGGGTTTCTCTGTGCCTCCTGGATTTTGATGCCTGTGTCCTTCCCCACATTAGGGAAGTTCTCTGCTATAATTTGCTGCAATAAACCTTCTGCCCCTCTCTCTCTTTCTTCTTCTTCTGGGATCCCAATAATTCTAATGTTGTTTCATCTTTCGTATCGCTTACCTCTCGAATTCTGCCCTTGTGATCCAGTAGTTGTTTATCTCTCTTTTTCTCCGCTTCTTTATTTTCCATCATTTGGTCTTCTATATTGCTGATTCTCTCTTCTGCCTCATTTATCCTAGCAGCTAGTGCCCCTATTTTTGATTGCACTTCATTAATAGCCTTTTTGATTTCGATTTGGTTAGATTTTAGTTCTTTTATTTCTCTAGGAAGGATGTCTCTAATAACTTCCATGCTTTTTTTCAAGCCCAGCTAGTATCTTTAAAATCATGATTCTGAACTCTAGGTCTGACATCGTACTAATGTCAGTATTGAATAGGCCCCTGGCAGACAGTACTACCTCTTGTTCTTTTCGCTGAGGTGATTTTTTTCGTCTTTTCATTTTGTCCAGAGGAGAATTGATGAATGAGAGAACAAAATGCTAACAGGTTAACAATGTCCCCAGCAAATATACTCTAAACAAATCAGAAAAGACCTGAAACCAGGGGAAAAGAAAGGGAAAGAAAGAAGAAAGAAAGACAAAAAAATAGAAAAAGAAAAAGATAAAAAGAAACAACAACAGAATAAAACAAAAAACGAAACAGAATATGATCAAATATGATCAGGCTAGTGCATAGATCAGTGCCACACACTAGATTTTCGGTGTATTTTAGTCTGTTAGAAGAAAGTGCCTCCTAAATTTTTAAAGAAAGAAAAACATATATGTACAAAATAAGGGTTGATACAATGAAGGGATGGAAGATGACTGTAAAGGTGAAAATTATAAATGATTTTATAAAAGGAATTGATAAGATAAAAAGCTGTTTGAAAAAAGAAAGAAGAAGGTGTTTAAAAAAAAAGGAAAAAAAAGGGAGAGAATGTGATCAGGCAGGAGACTAGAACAAAGCCATATCCTAGTGATTTAGGGTACATTTTAATCTGTTAGAAGAAACTGTATCTCAAAATTTTAAAGAGAGAACAACTTATATATATATGCCAAAATAAGGGTATCTACTATGAAGGGATAGAATATGACTCTAAAAATGAAAAATAAAAAAAAAGTCCAGACGAAAACATATGGACCAGGCAATAAAATTGAAGTATTGTTCAAAATAATAAAAAACAGAAAACAACACAGATAATTTAAATAAGTTATGGTAAATGCATCCATTCTACAAAACACTATACAGATTCTATGTCTTTATATGAAATGATGAATTCAAAATATATTTTATTTAAAATATTTTATGTAACAGCATGAAAAAATGGTATGCATAATTTAGTCTTATTTATTACATGCAAAGTTAGTCTGTGCATAGAAAATATCTACACATATAGAATATTCCCCAGTTCTGGGGAGAGCAGAAATTTGAGGAACCCTCACATTCTCACTTTATTATTTGTTTCTTTATTGTTTGGATAATTTTCAATGAGAACGTATTCTTTTTTTTTTTTGTTTTTTTGACAGAGAGAGACACAGCGAGAGAGGGAACACAAGCAGGGGGAGTGGGAGAGGAAGACCGCCAAGCAGGGAGCCCGATGCGGAGCTCAATCTCAGGACCCTGGGACCATGACCTGAGCCGAAGGCAGATGCTTAACGACTGAGCCACCCAGGCACCCCGAATGTATTCTTTTTGTAATTAATAAAAATTTTTGAAGAAGAAATGAAGTCAAAGTTGGCATTATTAGGAAGACTTTTTTTAAAAGGTGAGATTTTTTTTAAAGGCACACATTAATTTCAAGAAACATATGAAAATACATTCAAATAAAATCAATTATTATTCTACATCTAGCAAGTACAAGACACTGAACTCATCATTGAAGAGATTAGAGAGCACCTGTCTTCAAGACATTTATAATATACCTCATAAGAAAAGAAGTAAACAAAGAAAACTTCATATAATTTTAGCATAATATTTCAGAGGAAAAAATCTTCCAGGGAGTCATAAATAGATTTTAATCCTTCTGTCACTATTTGTGCTACCTTAGGCTGTATATGAGCTACCGTTTTACTTCCTATAAATTAAACAATTCATAACAGAATCACATGGTTCATTCCATATCATATGATTTTAATTCAAAAGAGAAATTCTCATCCAAAATATAGATATTATCAAAAGAAGTAATCTGTCATTAACTGACAAGTGATGGATAAATCAAAGAAAAAAGAAATTTTAGAGTGTGGTCATTAAAGAGGTGAATCAATCAACACCTGAAATGAAAATAAAGAACTGAAGAGGTTAGCAAGGGAAGAATTGATGAACTTTGGAGAATAAAAAATTACAAAAGGATGTACATAATAAATTAGAAGATATTCCTCATGGAATAAACATATTTGGCAGAAGCAAAACACTGAAGTGGCTGAGAAATCTGGATTTATTTCTTAGAGAATTAGGAACTACTGTAATTTTTGTGTGTGTGCAGTAAACACTAAAGTTAGAGTGGTATTTATTCAAATTTGAATAATAATTACTAAGTGTCCACTACATGTGAGTCTTGTGCTACATCACCCCCAGAAACTGTGGTAAACCCAAGAGGTATGATGGACCCACCACTAGTGACATATGGGAAAAACCCCAGAAGTGCTATCAGGGCTGCATTAGCTTGGGTACTACCAGACTTTACAGAATACTACTCATTGTCAATATTACATCTACTGTTTGAAAACATACTTTAATCTTTAGAGTCCCTGTCCCAAAGAAAGCTGAATTGTCCACTTTGAAAAGATTCTTCCCAAGGCTCCCTTTATGTCCTGATTCCTCAGGCTGTAACAAAAGGGATTCAGCATGGGGGTAATCACAGTATACATCACAGCCATGACTGTCTCCTTAACAGTAGAATTATTAGTTGATGGGCACAAGTAAAGGCCAATGATTATCCCATAGAAGAGGGACACCACAGAGAGGTGGGGTGGAGAAGGCCTTGCAGATGCCCCTGGCAGAAGGGACCTTGAGGATGGAGGACACAATTCGTGCATAGGATGAAGAGATTAACAGGAATGGAACAATAATGATGAGCCCTCCCAAAATAAAGATCACCATTTCATTTATCTGAATGTCAGAGCAGGCCAACTTTAGCAGAGCTGACATGTCACAGAAAAAGTGAGGGATCACATTATCAGCACAGAAAGACAGCCGAGCCATGAGCAGGGTGTGCAATAAAGAGATAAAAGTGGTCAGGATCCAGAACATACCACCAGGGAGAGATAGAGCTTGGGGCTCATGATGGTGGTGTAGTGCAGAGGGAAGCAGATGACCACATAGCGGTCATAGGTCATGGCCACCAGGAGGAAGCTCTCCAGGTCTGCAAAAAACAGGAAGAAGTACATCTGGGTCATGCAGCCAGCATAGGGAATGGATGGGACTTGGCTCTGCATGTTCTGCAGCAATTTGGGCATTGTGACAGAGGAGAAGCACAGGTCAGAGAAGGATAAATTGCTGAGAAACAAATACATGGGCGTGTGGAGGTGGGAGTCCAGGCGAATGAGGACAATGATGAGACGGTTCCTCAGGACAGTGGTAACATACATGGCCAGGAACAGGGCATAGAACAGGTCTCGCTGATCTGGATCAATGGGCAGGCCCAGGAGGATGAATTCTGAGATGACAGTTTGGTTTCCCATTTTCATGTTGTTTTTGTTCTACCTTTTTAAAATTAAGAATAATCTGTATGAAAGTGTGAATATATATGTATGTGTATATATATATACTCCTGAGCTGCCTCTCCACCAGCTTTATCTGGAGCAAGGAGTGTGCAAAACCAAGTGGGGCTCTACCACCACATACCCATCAGCAGCTGCATCCTTCTCACTGCACTGCACCCAGCACTCCTACTCCAAAGAAAAGCCCATCTATTTGCCCATCCAGCTTACACACCCCATTAACCACCCACCTCAGTGATGTGGGGAAGGAGATGATGAGCCAAAACTGATCTGAGCCCATGTTCTGCACCTACCATAACCTGGGGGCTGTTGAGAACCATGGGGGGGATCCCCAAACTGCAGAATGACACAAAGGTCTGAGTTGCTGCAGATTAGAAGGCAGTAGACGTTCTCTCATCATCGGCAGGCACTAGAACCCAGCCCCTAGAACTCCAGATCCAGTTCCTAACACTGGAACTACCAGAAAAATGGCCCTTCCACTTTAATTTCTTTGTTACCTAGATTAATACTACCCAACCCACATGAAAATCATGTCTGTTCTCCCTTTTAAGACTTAAAGAAAAAAAAAAGATTTGATTGACCCAGGGAACATTAGTCAGAGAAGAAAGAGTTAGAAGGGAGTAGGAATGAAATGGACAGCAGGGGAAGCAGGTGAGATTGGGAGGACCCCGGTGTCCCTAGACAGCATTTAAGTTCTGGACCCTGGAGCCAGTCAATCTGGGATCACCTTACTACACCCATACCTGTACCATGACCTGGCCAAGAAACTTAACCTCCCTTAGTCAGAGTTCCCTAATGAGCTCAATAGGAACACAACAGTACCTAATTTATTCTGCCAAAGGAAGTCAAGACAAAGTGTGACATTGGTAAGACTTAGTATGTGATGAGGATGCAGTATTTTCCCAAGTACCCCTACCCTCATCTCTATCCACCCCACCACCACCCATGAGCACAGCACTTTGGTGCAAGTAGAGTAAGTGGAAAGGAGTATTGTGGGGTGGAAGAAGCTACTGGCCCAGAAGGGACAAACATTTGGAACCCAAATAGTGAGGATTTCCTCTCAAGTTATGAGTTGAATCTATCCTTAGCTAAAGATACTAATATAAGGATAACTCGATGGAGGGTAAGGAAAACTGGCTTCATGGGAAGGGGCTCCCAAAATGGTCTCTTACACTCTGTTTACCTCATTCCCAAGCAAAATATTTAGGAGCCCACAGGAATCAGACTCCATCATTTACTGGCCTGTGACCTTAGCAAATTGCCGAACTCCACCATTAGTGAATCTTACCTACCTTGCAGAATTGCAGGTTTGGAATGATTGACACTTGCAAAGTATAAAGTACTCCACAAACATACAATTTATTTGTTCCCACTAATAGCCCTGGTGATTCCCAGTTACACTCAGAGATAAGAATCACTGTTGAGAGAGGAAAACAATGAGGCTGATGACTTCTAAATCATCCTGCAAGAGTTGTACTATATAACTATGGAATCTTAATTTAATCTGCTAAAGGGGATTTTGGAGTAACTACATCTTCAGAACCCCCTTCCAGCTTACCCAGCTTGTCTTAGTGTGGCTCCAGAGCCTGCTTCCTGTTTGTTACTTCCCCATCATGCATGTTCAGCTGGTCCCTGCCATTGTCTTCTGACTCCTCTCTTCTACAATGCTTTGACCCATGGGATCCCTGGGTCCCAAAGAAACTCGTTAGTAACAAACTCAGTACTTGCCTTCACCCTCACTCCTGCACATTTCTGAGTAAGTCATGTCCTGAGACAGAATTCTGGGTTTACTCTAAGTCTGAGCTCAAGAAAGCTTTCCCCAGACATTACAGCCCACACTAATATCTCCCTTCTCTACCTTCTGCAATATCTGGCCTCTACAAGAGTTATCAGAGTCAAATACTGTAGCACTTGGTCACCATTGTTATATGTTGTCCAATGATTGCTTCCATATATACCAACCTTCTCTTCTCAGGTGTGCTTTAAGCTCTATGATAGCAAGCATTGATTTACCCAGGAAATCCTTAATCTATTAGTTCATTAATGCATTCCTTTTAGAAATATTTACTGAGTACCTAACATGTGCAAGGCATGAGCCCATGACTGTGGGAAAAAAATCTGTGGCCAAGGTAGACATGATTCCTGCCCTCAAAGACATGGTCCCTATCCTCAAAGACCTTATGCCTAGCTGGCAGACATGGCAACTAAACAAGCTACTATGAAGTATTACAAATGTTATCATAGGGGAAATACAAGTTGTGGTAAGAGTGCTTAATAAGGAGATCTAACCTTATCCATTAGGTCAGAGAAGATATTTTTTTAAATGAAGTTTAAGCAGAATCTGAGGAGTTTTCCAAAAAAAGAAAATAAAAGTATCTAGAGAGGAAATAGTATGTGGAAAAATTCAGAGGTGAAAGAGCCTGGAGCTTTTTAAAAGCAAAGGAAGTTCAGTGCGGCTGTGGTATAGTGCAGGTGCTAGGAAGCAGGCAGAAGATGGGGGTCATTGAGAAGGGGGGAAGGTGAGTGATTCAGTTTGGTGATTCCTCAAAAAGTTAGAATTGCCATATGATCCAGCAATTCCACTTCTAGGTATATACCTAATAAATTGAAGTACTAACAAATACTTGTACATGAATGTTCATAGCAGCACTAATCACAAGAGTCCCAATGTGGAAACCACCATCAAATGATGACTGGATTAAAAAAAATGTGATGTATCCATACAATGGAATATTTTTCAGCAATGAAATAAGCAAAGTACTGATACATACCATAATATGGGTAAACCTTGAAAACATTATGCCAATTAAAAGAAGGCAATCACAAAAGTAACATATTATATGATGCTATTTATATGAAATATCAAGAACAGGCAAATCCATAGGGACATAAAGTAAGTTGGTGATTGCTAGGGAAAAATGGGTAGTGATTGTTAATGAGATTTATTTGGGGTAATGAAAATGTTCTAAAATTGATTATGGTGATGGCTGCAGAATTCTGAGTATATAAAAAATTAATTTTATACTTTAAATGGGTAAATGTTCTGGTATATGAATTATGTGTTTACAAATATCTAATAAAAACCAAGTCTTTATCATTGGAGAAATTTGTATAGATTGTATTAAATATATGTATATTAATGTTAAATTTCTCAGGTGTGATAATGGTATTGTAATTATGTATGAAAATGTTCTTATTTCTAGGAGATCCTAAATGCTGAATTTAGTGACTGTTTTGATAGCTGAAAATTATCTCAAATAGATCAACCATTTTATTTATTTTTTTAAGTTTTATTTTAAGTCCTGTTAACATACAGTGTTATATTAGTTTCAGGTGTACAACATAGTGATTCAACATGGCTCAGCCATTTTTTAAAATTTTTAATTGTTATGTTAATCACCATACATTGCATCATTAGGTTTTTTCTTTAAATTTTTTATTGTTATGTTAATCACCATACATTACATCATTAGTTTTTGATGTAGTGTTCCATGATTCATTGTTTGTGCATAACACCCAGTGCTCCATGCAGAACGTGCCCTCTTTAATACCCATCACCAGGCTAACCCATCCCCCCACCCCCCTCCCCTCTAGAACCCTCAGTTTGTTTTTCAGAGTCCATCGTCTCTCATGGTTCGTCTCCCCCTCCGATTTACCCCCTTCATTCTTCCCCTCCTGCTATCTTCTTCTTTTTTTTTTCCTTAACATATATTGCATTATTTGTTTCAGAGGTACAGATCTGTGATTCAACAGTCTTGCACAATTCACAGCGCTCACCATAGCACATACCCTCCCCAATGTCTATCACCCAGCCACCCCACCCCTCCTACCCACCCCCCACTCAAGCAACCCTCAGTTTGTTTCCTGAGATTAAGAATTCCTCCTATCAGTGAGGTCATATGATACATGTCTTTCTCTGCTTGTGGATCAGCCATTTTAAAAAGAAGAAAGGAAAGGAAAGGAGAGAAAGAAAGAGAGGGAGAGAGAAGGGGGATGGAGGTAATGAGGAAGCGAGAGAGAGAGTTTGATATGTGCTATAAATATGAATGGATGAAATATGAACAAATTTGAACAACAGATGGAGTATAAGCAAAACAAACTAATTTGAAATTAAGCTTGTAGCTTTTGTTTTGAATGTCACAGGTGTAATGACACAGGATTTCATCTTTTAAAATATTCTCACATTTTGCTATTAAATTGAAATTCAATCATTTATAAATTTGTCAATTATGTGGTCATTCAATTATCAAATCTTATTTTTTCAATTTTATTTTTCCTGGTTATCATTGAAGTCAAACATCTTTTCATACTGTTTATTCTTCATGAATTTTCTGTTAATATTTTTTATGTATTAAGTTTTTATTTCAATTTCAGTACAGTTAACATAGACTGTTATATTGGTTTCAGGTATACAATATAATGATTCAACAATTCCATACATCACCTAGTGCTCATTGCAACAAGTGCACTCCTTAATCTCCATTGCCTATTTCATCCATCCTCCAGCTCATTTCCCCTCTGGTAACCATCAGTTTGTTCTCTGTAATTAAGAGGCTGAAAAATATTCCATTGTGTGTACATATTTACCACATCTTCTTTATCTGTTTGTCTACTGATTGACAATTGGGCTGCTTCCATCATTTGGTTATTGTAAATATGCTGCTATAAACATAGGGGTGTGTGTATCCCTTTGAATTAGTTTCCAGCTTTGTTTTCCTTTTTCTAGATTGCTTTGACTATTCAAGGTATTCAGTTTGTTTTATTTTTATATCACTTGTAGGTGTTCTTTGTATATTCTGAATTTTAATCTTGTGTGTTAGGCATACTACTGTCTGTCAATTTTCTTTCAAGTTTTTTTATGTTATCTTTTGTTCTAGATAAGTTTCCTCTTTTTATGTGGTCAAATATGTCAAACATCAATATAAGCTCATCAGTTTCCACAAAAATAATTCCTTTGAGAATTTGAC